AAGTATCTAAAAACTGTTGCGCGTCTATAATCGAGATGGAAGCTTGTTTTCTGGGTACATCGGGTGCGTAGCAAGGGCGCATGGAGGATTTAGTCTAGGGGGGGGGGGCGCAAACGATATTTGGGGCTGGTCATTTTTTAACCTCAGTTGAACTTCTAGAATTTATCCTATTATTGCTCCTTAAATCCAGTGTGTTATATCTGATCAAGGTCAGCTTGAAAAAATAAATATGGAAAATGCTCAGAAATCCTTAGAAATGCAGTATTTTATTATATGAGAATAAAATAATTTCGTGACATTTATAATTAACCAGTATAATAATATTAAAGATTCAAACATGAAAAACATCTTTGCTCTGTTGACCGAAAAAAAAACATAATAAAATTCTGAGGGACCCCGAGACATACCCCAGTCCATTCCACACAAAACAATTTCTTTGACTGCGAACACGAACATGAGACCAAAAAATTCACTTTATGGTATGGACGCTAGACAAGACAAAGAAGGATGTCTATAGACCATCTATAGGTCCTGTCTTGAGACCGTCTCCAGACTGCCTATGTACAAATTGCGCAACGGGGTCTACTAGTATGTTCAAAGCTTAAAGATTAAGACTCTGAACTGCCCATTAAACAAATCAAGTATAAGGTGCAAATATTGACACAATCAAGCACTTCTATTATGTTAGCAGATGATTAAAATATCAATTAGGTATAGTCAATTATTATTTTTTTGTACCGCGCAGACAGAAGACTAAATGCCGGAGCACCGCGGCTGCTTTGATGAACTGCCCGAGGTTAGTAGAACTGGAAAACGCTTCGTCTTGTAGATAAACAAACAGCCTAACTTTTTCCGAGCAGCTGCCGCTATTGACCAGATCATTTCGTGCCAAATCAGGTCATCGGTGATCGGAATGACTCTTTGGCAGAACTCGAACATCCATAGAAACCGGATGAGCGCTAGGACGTTTTTTGTTCGTCAAGGTACAGTACTGTGTTTTGGAAGCATTAAACTGTACAAGATTGTTGCACCCCCAAGCAGTGATAACCTCCAAGTCTCTCGTCAGAAAGGAAGTCGTCGCTAGTCTTCTTTTTTCCAGCTCAGCGGTAGAGATCGGATATCTTCAAAGGTTTTCTGGGAGGCTATAGGATGGAAGTTTGCTTTAAAGGGTGGCGTGCCACAGTTGATCGAAAGCTGTCGTGATGTCAAGAGCAACGACATGAGTCTCACCATAAGACTGGATGAGTTTACTCAACAATTGCGTGACGTAAGCTAAAAGGTCCCCTGTGGATGGCTGGTGCCGCAAACCGTACTGCCTGTCGCTAATGAAGCTGTGACGTTCGCGGTAGTCCAGAAGCTCGTGATTTAGGCACATCTTCATCACCTTACTTATAACAGAAATCGGAGCTATAGGCCTGTAGTTGTAAGGGTCGGTCCTAGATCCCTTTTTTGGGATGGGCTGGACATGAGCGAATTTCCAGTTTTCTGGGAAGGTGCTAGGTTCATAAGATATCTGGAAGAGTCACAAAAGAACTGGAACAAGCTCCGCTGCACACATCTTCAGTACAATGGCAGGAGTCAAGTCCGGGCCAGAAGCTTTGTTGATGTCGAGCGACAAGAGCACTCGTCTTACGGTCTTATGCCTGAATGTTACCTCCCGCATAGTGTAGGGAACCCTTTGAATAGACGGCACTTGGGCGTTGGAGGGGACGTCCATGATGGAGTTGGCAGCAAACAACTTGGCAAGCACTTCCGCCTTGGCCTTTGAGTCCGATACAATCTTTCCGTCCTTACACGTAAGTGGTGGAAGGCTACTCTGTGAAAAGTTCTTTTCAATCTGCTTGGCCAGCATCCAGAGAGACCGACTGCCATTACGCTGTGACATTACCCTGTGGCTAACTCTTATATCGTGCTAGTTTTTGGCATTGCGAACTGCTTCGTTATATTTGTTACTGTACTTGACGTCGGATTATCTGTTCTCTACAGTGGTGCTTTGTACGAATGTTTTGTGTGCCTTGATCTTCTGCTGGCGAGCTGTGTCACAGGATTCTTTAAACCAGCCGTTGGACCCTGCCTTAGGCTTTCACTGTATGAGGGATGTATTCCTCCATTCCGACGTGGATCATTTCGGTTATCGAAGAACGGACAACCGACGCATCCGCCTCAGTGAAACAGACATCTCTCCAAGGAAAGGTAGAGAAGAAATATCTGAGTCCCTCCCAGTAGGCATGTCCGTAATGCCAAATTTTGTGGCCTGTGGGAGTTTCTGCTGCCACAGCGGATTCTGACCGAAACCTAATCTCCGCAACACAGTGTTGTAAGAGACAGGATGCGTGGTCAGAAAGAGATCCATCAGGCTACTGGCATGTGACGAGACGCGGGGGAAAAAAGCAGGGCCCGTCACCAGCTGGGTCAGCCTTTAAGGCTCCAACTGCACGAACTGCTGCATCGGTCTTGTTTGAGCACAACCAAAGCAAATTACGGTCATTGAAGTCACCGAGGAGCATTACCTCTGAAGCGGGGTGATTGATGCTCAGGAAGTCGATCTTGACGGCGAGGTATTCAAGAGGGTCATCCCAGTTACGGTCTGAGGGAGAGTGATAAAGGCAGCAAATACATTTGAGAGATGTTTTGGAGTTGAGGTGAAGCCACAGAATGTCCTTCCGGTCTGACTTCAGATAAACATCTCTGCAGCAGGAAAAACTACTGTGGACAAAGGCCACAACTCCCTCGTTCTTTGTCAGATTGGAGTGCACCTCGTAATTTGGGAAGTTAAGAAGGTTAATCGATGCGGAGATTTTTGTCTCCGCCAAAAAAAGCATGGCGGGACGATTGGATTGCAAGTAGTGATGAACAGCATCAATGTTGCTGTTAATCCCGCATATGTTCGTGAAACAAATTCTATCTTCGATGTTGTTCCCTCGAGTCCACACTCCACCCGGACATTCAGAGAGTGGAGTGAGTTTACGTCCGGAATTCTTAGTACTCGAGAGGTCCATCATCATTAATTTCTTTGTTTTGGAAGATAACCGACTGCATAGCTTAGGTGTGGAAACATGCGGACATTTATAAGACCCTTTGAAAAGCTAGCGGGTGTCACCGCCTCGGTCGACTGGTCCTTGTCATTCTTGACAGGCCACAGGCACAACGCTAAACAAATCTCATAAATGTCTATTTCCAATTTATTCGTTCATCTAACATAGTGCTTCGCTGCAACACCAACCACGAACAGAATCAGTGAAGCTCTACACACTTTTCGAATTACTATTGAGCAACAAACAGAACATAAATCACTTCACTACAATCTGTGTAGCTAATATATTACCCAGACTTAGATTTGTCAATGGTCGCAATATTCGTATAAATCCTAAGACTTGTGCTGTAAACAAGTAATGTCAAAGAGGGATATTATTTGGAATACCAAAGTATACCAAAAAATCGCAATGCTCAGTTCCTATAGCTATAACTTATAGTTAGTATGCCTCTGTCGCCATAATGTGTCAGAAAGTAACACAATGGTATTAGATTACAAAAACACATGTCAGATGTCTCTAAATCCGCCACTGCTCTCTTCTACCACTATGTCAATGAGCGCCATGAGCCTGCCAGACAGACCTTGGCAAAATCAGCAATCGGATTGACAAGGTGAATCTAACCTCTTTATAGCAGTGGTATTCAGGCTTCTGCTTACCTGGCTGCTTCGGTATAAAGAAAGTGGCTGTGACGATGGAAATAGTAACTTAAGTAAACGTCCAAACACTGTATATGGTTGGGCATTTAATAAATTGGATAGTGGTTGCTTTGAAATTACCTGGTACCCTAATTTCCTAACTTTTCTCGAATCTACCAGTCATTTTGGTGCTGCTTTAAAGAGAAAAATTGCGTGTATCATAGTGTATTGTATTTAAATCACATCAGCAAACACCAGCGCGCGTTGAAATACCCACGCTTCTATTGACCAGTGGGCCAGAAACGCCTGATCGTGGCAACGACATGCGAATATAAGCGGTGCTCGAGTGCTCATACTTGTGTCTGGGAAAGTATTACTAAGACAGTGTTTAGGAATTAACGTGGTTAAAAACTTTGCAGCAATATAGCCTTAATGCAAGGAGCAGATTATCTGTTACAACACCAAAGTGCCGTAAACTTCACACTTCAGTTAACAACTTTATCGATAGAATAATATCCTGCAGCAACATCCTATACATAAGTATGTTACCATCATAAAACCCTGGAAGGCAGAGCAAACCCATAAATACAGCAAAATCTGCGTTTAATAACATAATTACAAAATATAACAGGTATCACGTTACTGGACACTGTAAGTGTCAATAGGCGTGAAATACGACCAGAAAACATAGACGGAGATGCTCCAAGATGCTATGAAGGTACTATGAATTTTAGTTTTCATCTTTCACTTCTGTGATATGCCATCATAGAAGTCACCACATGCAGCGAACAGTTATAGGGCGAACAGAATAGGAATAACAGTATTTCTCAACATTGATAGAAAAAGTCGCTGACCAAGTCATTCTTAGGATAGCAAGTGCGGAAGTCTTGCCGTTGTTGATCAGACTTATCTCTGAAGACGGAGTGAATTTTGTAACGTAAAATTTACGATATGAAGAACTTAAGAACGTATTATTTTGCCATAAATGGGCACATTAACTTTTTGTTTGATAAATGTTAACATAAGACAAATATCACAGCTGTAATAACAGTTGATCATAATCTCAAACTTTTTGTCAGTCATGACAGGAACGTGTCTAATTACGACAGCGCAAAAATCTGCTACTAGTACCTATTAGAAACGTTGTCAAGCTTAAGCTGGAAATAATTTACGTTCCGCTCCGATTTACTTTTAGCTCTTATTGATTGAATGAAATCATTGCTAAATGAAATGAAACTATTGCGGTGACCGTTCCACTAATATCACTGCATTTTTGTAATAAATAACAAAATAATCGTGGCTTGTACAAAATCTATTTTAGAATTTTCAGGCTCTACGAAGATGTTCAACTTCCCCTAAGCTACGTCTATATCAAACCATACTCCGGAAGGCAGTATAATACTCTATGGCTTAAGGAACATCATATCAAGTAAATAACGAGGTTTGCTTGCTATAAAAATGCAAATCTTACCTTATTAGGCATGCGGGATTATTCCCTATATTTTAGTTTATATGCGAAAAATTCACAGACTTACGCAAATGGTCCGTTAAGGCGGTGTAACGGTGAATCCGGTAGAGTCAATAATTTCATAAAGCACTCACAAGCGGCACCGGTTATCCTGTTCCGCCTATTATATGTTACTTCTATTGATTCTTTTAACATCATAACTATGAAGAATCTGTAATTCTACGCATTATTTTAGATGTTATATTCGACGCCATCGCATCTTAAAGTTACAGTTCAATTATATTTTTTTTTTATTTTGTTTAATCGGTGCTACAACATTGAAATAGCCGCCCAGCAAGTAATTAGTTCAGCTGCCAGAAGTCAGTCTTCTACAGGAGATATCACCCGTCGATCAGTTATTTTTTCGTTCGTTAATGTTCATCTAATTCAGTGTGAAATTTCTAAGGGTCAGATTTATCGAATAAGTTTGCCATTCAACCAATTGAAAGCCTGCTTGATTTAGTGCAGTCATAGCAGTTCAAGAGGTACCATCCGAGTTGCCTATATCTTTCATGTCATCCTATGTCGTTAATTCTCGTTCTTCGACGAGTGATTGATGATCTTTTACTTTGTTACTATACCACATTCGTACTACATTTACGCCCAGACAAAACACAACATGCCCAAAAGCGAGATTGTACAGGTCCGTATTTTCCTCAATGGTCTTGGAATAATCTAACAAAATAAATGATTCTGTTTATAGAAAGAAGTGCACATGCGCTTCACAATTCATTATTTGCTGGAAGTACTTGAAATATCGATCATGTTGTCCAAATCCTACATCTTTGTTTCGATTGTCTCTTGAACGTGACAGATGCAATCTTTCCAATGGTTTGCCGTCACTCTGCTGACAGCTTCATAAAAAAATTGAATGTTCTATTGTTTGAAGCCATAGTTTTGCCCAAATCATTTCAATGGGATTTAATTCGCAGTGATAATGGGGTAGCCTTATTTTATAATATTAAGATTATATTTATATTTGTGCTGCCTGACTAGATGTATAAGTTCTTGCTTTAACCGTATTTTCATTGAAAATAATATTTTGATAGGAGCCATTGTTGAATTTGTGTCTTTTTTATGGACATTGTGGGATTTTTTTCTAGCTTTCTAGTGTGGTATGCAGCATTATTAAGTACAATCACGGCATTGTCGTCAAGCTTTAGGAGCGTTTCTTCAAACCATAATTCAAATGAACTCTCGTCCATTTCTTCATGGTAGTCGATCGTTTTCTTTGACTCAAATGCCCATAGGGCAGTGTGCACAAAGCCATCTTCACTACCAACGTGACAGATAGCAAATCGTTTTCCTTTACCTGAAAATAATTATTTCATATAGTATTCAAGAAAACTAATAATACAAGCAGAGTATCTAACAGGTGTTGGTTCCAAATCTACCAGATATAGCTAAGTTTAGTGTAGCTAAGTTTCCAGCGTGATCTCATAGATTCAGTCTACTTGACACCATTCTTACAACACAAATGACGAATTGGTTAGATACACGTACCTGACGGATCCTTCAGGTCAGTGGGTAGTCCATCTAAGAAGGCTTGCTGATTTAATTGTAGCGTCAGCCAATACTTTAGGTTTTGTATGTCCAACATTTATCCAGGTTTCCTCCAAGTAATAAATCTTCCTGCCGTAGTCGCGATATTTCTTTATTGATTTTAAATAGTTTCTTCTCCATAAAATAATCTCTTGGCCGTCCATCAAAATACTATTTCTGTTCCTTTTTCTATACTTAAAATGAAGTTCTTTGAGTAAACTATAGAATGTGGTCCTTCTGAAGGTAGGTAAGTCTTCATCACTATTAATCTCCTGTAATACTTTGTCTATGGTGGGAAGCTTCTACCTTTCAAAAATTTGATGGACTTTGTGTCTGATGGCATTCCAATCAAAGTTATCAACTATATCGAACAGCTCCGTGTAATGTAGCCTCTTGTGTGGTGGAGACAATTTTTTGTTTTTTTTATATTCCTTAATAATGTTGAAAATTGTCTTACGACATAAGCCTGTTTTGTTCACCACACGTCTTTCAATATCATGAATTTCATTTCAGGATGCTCTAAAATTTTGCTCTTATAAACGTTAAGGACAATTTCTTATACATACACTAACGAAAATTACTGTGGAGGTGGAATGCACCGACTAAATGGAATTTGTATGTGCCAGAAAATGTTTAAAATTTGCGAATTCAGGAGGAGGATATGAATAATGGGATGGTATTTTCAGTACAAAGACTACATTTTTTTACTACATTCTTATATGGAAAAAATAGAGTAACCGATCTCATATATTATTAGTATCATACTAATAGAGTTTTGAATACTCTTTGTTAGTGCTCGCCACCCGGAAAACTAATTTTTGGAATAAGGGAGACGAATGTGAGAAAGTGAACGTGAAAGTTCTCTTATTTCTTAGGAAACTGTAATACTGATAAAACAGATCTTCCCAGAGTCATTCTTCGGAGTACTCGTGCGGAACTCTGGCTGTCGTCGATTAGTTTCATTTCTGAAGATGAATTCAACTCTGTGATTGAATGTTTAGTGGTACGAAGAACCCAGTTACACATTTTTTTCCGGAAACGGCCGCTATCACAAACTTTGACAAATGTCAACAGCTGTCAGAATTTATTTGGTTGATAGCACCACACCCACTATCTTTCAGTGATTCTACTTTCTCCTGTTCACGCATAAAATAATGCCCGCTGAAGTTCCGATCGATCACGCTCTGATCAAAATGGTAAAAAGGCAGTTCTACCGACATAACCATAAAGACGAGAGATAGGAGATCAAATTGCCTAAGGGAAGAAACGTATTCGTATGAAGCCAATACTTTCGATAAGGAGGTTTCGAGAATCTAGTGCGCGTGGAGGATGGCGTAGAGCGTTCGCGCGTTTATACAGATATATGCATATGGAAAATGTCAACATAACCCGCCGCATGCTGCATTTCGATCAAGAAGATTTTGATCTAGTTTTCTAACGTACCTAATTATGCCTGCTTTTATCAATGCCTGCCGAATTTTTCAATTCTTTCGTATTTAATTAATCAATCAAATCTTGTTTTGTCAAATTCTTAATTATATTCAGCACTGATGAGAAGGGGTAGGCATTATGTATATCTCGTAATTCCTGAACATCCTCTTCCAAGCTTATGTCACAATCATAACGTATATTTTGTTGGTGTAATTTTCATATGGATCAAAAATACTATCTTATTATCTGATCTCTTGATTAATTTTTCATAACTACGTGTTCGTGCTCAGTTGCTGATTCTCTACAAGTACTTGCCATGGAAAATGATGTAGAACGTGAAACACTACCGCAAACAGATAACGACATTTTATAACATCAAGTGTCAAAGGAGCTGTTCAGAAATGATGCAAAAAGAATTATCACGTGTACCGCAAAATATTGATTCCCAAGGTTTTTCATTTCACTTGCGTTTCACCATGCTTTGCTAGCTTATTAATCACAAGCAATATTTCAGCTTACGACTTGTCTGAACTGTCAAAATTGGAACTGTTTTATGACAGTAACTGAGGGACTTAGATATGAGTACAACTTGTCTGGTTTCTGGGCCACCAGATCTGACAGACTCACGACAGACACTGACAGTACAGTGACTATAACGTAAAGGCTAAGGTCCTCCGACGAGTAATACTTAGATATCAGGGATGCCACATGGGCATAACCTGAAATTCATTTCCTGCGCACTTTGGCTTCACCCCCACACTATGAGTTTCTATCTCTAGTATTCGTGGGTCTATCTTCGATAAAAGACTTCTAGACGCTTCATACGCTTCTAAACTACATTAGTCTAGACTCAGATAAAAGGCAAAACAGATTTGTTAACTTCAGTCCATCCCGCAGATGGTGTGCAGCGATTTTTTACATGAGGAAATATGTATACACATGCCCGTATATACAAATTATTCGTTTTAACTTGAAATATAGTTATTTTCGTGTACCATAATATCTGACAACGGTCGGAATTTGCAACGGTATGGTGCAAGAGTTCAACCAGCAACTATGTGATCCATTACACAACAAACTGCTCAAAGCAGTGGCGTAGTCACTTCGATTTTAGTAAGGAAAGTGAATATGTCTTCAGGCAGCACTTTTGTAAGGCTAAAGTTTTTAATAATTGAAGACATAAGTGGATAAAGGTGATATGTCACAAAATGCAAGTTTAGAGTTATTTAGGAAAACGTGATTTGATTTGGAACTTTTTCCATTATTTTACGATTCTGATTAAAATCACTTCTTCGATATGTTGAAGTACGGTATTTGTATTGTATTAGACTAAGGACGCTAAACAATTATTAGTTTATAAGAAAAACTGCAAGAAATGTACATAGCTCCTTTATCCATTAAAAATTAAACTGTGATAGAATAACAAGATACGAGGAAATAGGTGTCAAGTACATTATTAATTATTATAATTATTAAAGCAGATAATATTAATAAAGTGTACAATATCAGAAGATACATGTTTGGATGTGGTAAGTTCTCCTGTATTATACTTTCGTAATACAATTCGAATTCTTCATCTACAAGCTTTATTTCATCTTTGAGGTTTTGTAGTGTTTTATAGTTAAACCTCCAAACCTTTCTGTTATCGTTGTTGGCTGACTCTCGGGGCGGTCCCGGTTTTTTCATTTTTCTTTCTTAAATTAACTTCAAGGGATGGTGTGTATTTTTTTACACCGATTTTTGAACTGCCTAAGGTTAGTAGAACTGAGGAAAGCCTCCTCATGTAGATTGTTCCACAATATCGATACCCTAGGAGTAGCAAATTCAGCTCCTATGGATAAAAGGGCGGTAGTATCGGCCAGTTCTGGGTATACGAAGTTCGACACGGTTAGGTTGGGAGGCCAAAGTCAGGCGGGTCTGTTGGGTGGGCATATCGCGCGACGGCATCATGGAGGAGAGCTCTCCGGAGCAAATCCCATTGGCGTAGAGGTAGAAGAGAGCTAGATCGCCATCGGTCCGCTGATGCGAAAGGGTCCCTAGCATGACCGCCCATATAACAATCCCAGAGGGGGCATGTTTGGTTAACATATTGTGCAGGATCAAAAATGCTGAGAACTAGCCAACCCGTTGGTGACAACTATTCAAAATGTTAGACGATATAAATAATGTCTTCTATGTTGGGATGTTTAAGTTAGGATGAATACCTTATTAAGACTATTTTACTTTGAAGCAGTAGCCAGGGGGGGCATAGGGGGGGCATATGCCACCCTTGCCCCCCAATGGGCACCCATGGTCCCGAGACTGTCCGTTAGAGAAGAGTGATCGATCCACTGATCGACATCCCTCTGCTGAACAGCATCGAGCATGGATAATGTAGTACTCGAAGCTAGGTCTTTTCTGCGCATTGTACAGAGTGAGGAGGTCATGTAGAGAATAGTACTTCTTAGCCTTAAAGAATAGCCTAGCTTTTCCCAGGAGCTTCCGCTGTTGACGAGATGTGTTCATGCCAAATAAAGTCCTCGGAGATGTGGACTCCGATCGGTCGAAATAAACGACTATTTGGTAGAACTCGCCTATCCATCGAAACCTGATTAGCGCTAGGACGATTCTTGTTAGTCAAGATACAGTACCTCCAAGTCTTTCGCCAGAAAGGAAGTCGCTGCTACTCTTCCTTTCTGCATGTCATCAGCAAAGCTGAGGATCGAATTGATCGTACAGGAAAGGAGGTCGTTGATATGTGAGATGCATTATTTTGGAGCCAAGACCGATGCTTGTTGAACACCCGAGTTCAGATTGTAGGATGAAGAGGTGAAGAGGTAAAACCATCTATTATTATTAACATAGCCTCAAAGGTGGTATGTCACCAGCAGCTAACTTATCTGTCGATACTTATTTAGTCGATAGTGGTTTTATGTCACATATTAGGATAAAGCTCATTCACCTGAAATAAATGCAAATTCACTTGACATGCCACCTTTATCAACTAAAATTATCTTTTCACAAAGGATTATCAATATATATCACTTCTATCAGGTTACATAGGGGGCGAAAAATCGAACAAGATGACTTTGGTAAGAAATGTGACATGGCACCTTTATCCACTTACGTTTTCAATTAAAAATAGTAGATCGTAATAATATTAAATCGTTTTTCGACAGAACTAACCTTCAAGTGACCTGTGCCTAATTTTCACGTCGATCGGGCCATAAACAGCAAAGCTATTTTTGCATTTGTGTTAGAAATGAAAAAAAAATTCGTGTGTTGAGATAAAACATTGTAATTTAATGGGAAAAATGCCGTGCCAGCTCAGCAATGTCGTAAACGACGAATCTACGGTAGTTGGCAACTCTCGGCTAGGCTAAATGAAGTAGTAACTATAAATATTATGCAAGTTTTGAAAATCGCGATGGATTACCACAAACTAAAAATTTTTGGTATTGACAAAAAGGTCTTTACCAAATGCTTACAAAGAATGAAACGAGTCGATGATTCAGAGAGCTGTTTGTCACTCTTTACTGGCAAAATTTCTTGCGCTATATGACATAGAACAAAACATGGACCTACCAATTCACTTCCGAGTCGAATCGACAGCCGCCATTTCGAAATTTTCCTATTGCCCTTATGCTAAAATATGGTATTCATGTGAAATACCACAAAGTGCCATCGATTATCGGAATCGACCACTGCGAAGTTGAAAACAACAAGCTGTCTGTCGATACTTACGAAGTCAGATTAGGTAGAAGTAGCTAGTTTATGCTTTTTTGTCTCTTAAGTCTTAGAGCGATTCGTCAGGGTGAAAGTTCATACTACAAGTCGACCAGGCTTAAACTTCTAGTTTGACAGCAGATTAACATTTGACATGAGTTTCGTATTTTTCTGCAAAAACATAAAGTGCGTGGGTTCCATACACTCCTAGTATTTCAGACAACTTTCGTAAATGGTGAGGGTCTCTGGAGAATTCAAAAAGCCTAAACCATTCCGAGAAGTTGCCAAATAGCACGAAACAGCTGTCCATGGTAGGCTGTCTGTGGTTGGAGCAATAAAAGCTATACTTGTAGTACAGTATTCATGTATCATTTCATAATTCGGAATTTCAGCTTGCTTGTTTGACAGGGTCAAAACTACGAAGCGGAAGACCTTTGGTATAGCGGTGTATACGAACTGCATAACGTGGTTGGTCCGCTTCTATCCGATTCTATACCTAACAACATCGTCGAAAAATGGACAGGAATGGAGACAAACCAATTTTTTTGATAGATATGCTGAAAAGGTCTAACTGAAACCTACTTTAAGTCTTATTTACTTTAACTTTGAATCTAAATGTATTTGGGTACGTCTTCTCTTATGCGCTATAAAAGTAATTTTACAATCTCATTTTACTGCCACGAGATTCTAGTGAGGAAGTCTCAGTAAGCCTCAAAAAACTGAGTGTCAAATTTATTGAGAAAGTTCCAAATTCTTTTATCGGATGAATTACATAATAGCAGGAATTTCGATATACTGCTTAACAAGAATCTGCTTGGATCACGACAACTCTTTAGAAGAGCTGTGTGGAATTTATGCAAAGTGTCCCACTATTTCCAATATCCGGTATTTCGCCGTTGTTGCTTGATGGAGAAACTTTTTCGTATTGTTCATCTTTCAAAATCCCGAATTAAGAAGAATTGTTCATATGCTTTACCATTAATGAGTATTTACTTTCATTTCATGGCCCTATTTAAGTTATCCCTGCTCATTATAACAGCGATTCGAATCGCAATACAGATGAGTCATTAAATTACTTCCAAATCTGTGTATTCGATAAATATAGTACCAATGATATAATAACAGTAATTTCCATAATTATGTTCTTACTAACTATAGTAGATATGGTCTACTAGCCATTGAACAAACTTGTAATATATCGCTTAAAACACCAGAATCGACGGCATGTAGCAGCCAGATTGGAGACCCCGCTTTCAATGCGCAGTGGGATACAGTTCCGACAGTCAGCTTGCTATTTTCACTTTCTCAATGGCCGACCCTGGCAATAGATGCCACTTTGTGCCTACTTATTTCCATAAATCTCATACTTTGAAACGAGTAGAGTTGCTCAGCCTACACCATGCCGAGAAGTTGCCAAATAGCACGAAA